TATACTATATATATATATATATATATATATATATATATATATATATATATATATATATATATATATATATATATATATATATATATATATATATATATATATATATATATATATATATATATATCTATATCTATATCTATATCTATATATATGTATGTATATATGTATATATATAACTGTACTGTGGCAGTCTGCAAGAGGTGCTTATCAATTGCTGATAGGTGTGTCTCTGCGCACGACACAGTGTGTGAGAAGATGAGGTGTGTGGTTGACTTCTGCAATTGCACGGCCACACGAGATGGGGTTCAATCGTGTGCTCGTATGCCATACACTGTTTAGAGTCTTAGGGTTTTGATGTATGTCATTTATCGTTCAGGGTTTTAGGGGTTTACCACACTTTTTAGGGTTTTGAGTTCTTTACGGCGTTTTTTTTAATCATTTAGGGTTTTATGTCTCATACTCTCTTTAGGGTTTTAGGGTGTTTCCACAAGGTCTTCCCTTCATTGTACTGTAGATGATTCCTTTACCTCATGTATACCACTCGCCTCCTCTCACCCGCCCCAGCATGCGCAGAATGCCTTTGGCACTGTCTTTGATCTGCTGAGTGGTCTTTTATATCTCATCTATAACACTCCATGCGCAGAATGCTTTTGTCACTGTCTTTGATCTGCTGAGTGGTCAGTTTATATCTCATCTAGAATGCCTTTGTCACTCTCTTTGATCTGCTGAGTGGTCTGTCTATATCTCATCTATAACACTGCATTCGCAGAATGCCTTTGTCACTCTCTTTGTTCTGCTGAGTGGTCTGTTTATATCTCATCTATAACACTCCATGCTCAGAATGCCTTTGTCACTCTCTTTGATCTGCTGAGTGGTCTGTTGGTTAAGATGGATGACTACACCTTAGCCGAAGCGTGTGGCCGTTCTGCTGTTGCGGTCTCAGACAAGCTCAGGTAATGTTTTAGGGTTGCGTAGTTTTTTCGATTTGTAGTTTAGGTTTTGGTGGTACTAGGGTTTTGTAGTTTTAGGGTTGCGTAGTTTTAGTTTTAGAGTTTTATAGTTTCAGGGTTTTGTATTTTTAGGGTTTTAGGGTTTTGTGGCCGGTCTACTATTGCAGTCTTGGACTCGCTCATCAGATAGTGTACTGTGTTGTTGGCACACGTAGTTTTATCTGTTGGCCTTGCTGTTTGCGGCTGCAAGTAGGTAAGTAGTCGTGTGGATCTACAAACGTGCCTATTTTTCCGAACGTATGTGTATTTACATATGTCGTTGTTAGGTCGTTTGGATGTGGTTTTAGGGTTTAGGGTTTAGTGCATGAACATGTACAAATACCAGAAATGGCGGTGGTAGATAATATGGATATTAATCTGAGTGAATGTGTGTGTGCGCTTTGAAAGTATGTGCATATCACCACGACATACATATCTCACAGCAAGCTGTGTTAAAACCCTGCAACCTTACAACCCTGTCCGTGTGCTTTTCTACATGTCTTGGGCGAAGGCAGGTATCCCTATACATTTCTATATGGAACCTAACTTGTGTGTTGTATGGAACCTAACTATGAGAAGGTTTGCGTTATGTATGTATGTGTGCTATAGTGTAAGAGCCCCAGGGAGACACATTGCTATCTCTCCGTCTGTAAAGTGGAATTGGAGTATCTATTGGCAAGGTTCAATACAGCTACTGCGGAGGCTTTCCAGTTTGTTGGTTACGCCATAGGGCACTACGGCGTTTCAGTGGTGTGTACACGTGCACATAAGTACGTCTGCAATGTACTTGCAGGTTCTAATTATTGAGCAAAGCATGCAGCATACATGCCGATGTATTTGTAGGTACATGTGTATGTATGTACATGTGTATGTATTTAGATGTGTATGTATGTACATACAATTTTCTGGTGAGAGTATACAACTGAATGGATTGGCCCGGTTTAAATGTTTTAGGGTTTAAGGGTTTTCATAAGTTCTATCGGATCACTGACGCGTGCACACTTGTACACACCAACACACCAGCGTGTTGTTATCATCATCGCACTCATATACACACGTTACTATCATCATCACATTCATATGCACATGTTACTATCAGCATCAAACTCATATCCACATGATACTATCTCCATCCCACTCATATACACATGTTACTATCTCCATCCCACCCATATACACGTGCTACTATCATCATCCCACTCATATACACGTGTTGCTATCATCATCACACTCATACACACATGTTACTATCATCATCCCACTCATATACACGTGCTACCATCACTACACAGGAGTATAAAGCTGCAGGGGTTGGCACAGGCCGCCGCTGAAGCGAAGCGTCACGCACAACACGTGGGACAAGTGCCAGTGTATCAAATACTAGAGGCCATGGACGCCATTGTGCGTGTGTTGGTCGACAAGATAACCTCTCAGGTACGTTTGTGTGTGCGTGTGATACGCTCTTATAGACAAGATAACCTCTCAGGTACGTTTGTGTGTGCGTGTGATATGCTCGTATAGACAAGATAACCTCTCAGGTACGTTTGTGTATGTTTGTGATATGCGCTTATAGACAAGATATCCTCTCAGGTAAGTTTGTGTGTGCGTGTGTTATGCTCCTATAGACAGAATAACTGCTCAGGTACGTCTGTGTGCGTGTGATACGCTCTTATAGACAAAATATCCTCTCAGGTACGCCTGTGTGTGCGTGTGATACGTCTGTGTGTGTGTGTGATACGCTCTTATGGACAGAATAATCTCTCAGGTACGTCTGTGTGTGCGTGTGATACGCTATTCTAGGGGCGTGTGCCATCTGTGTAGAATGTGTGTTCGTTAGTTGCGTTGTACATGTGTGGCATTCATCACCTGATCTCACCTGAGCGGGCACGGGTTTTCAGGGTTTTAAACCCTAAACCCTATTCATATTCAGACTAAGCTACACCTATCTCTCTCCCTCCCCTGTAGTCCACCCGTTCATGTCTGTACACGACGCTGCTCAATCTCATAAGCTTTGCCAAGGACTCGGGTTCGTCGCGGCACGGCACGCACAGCTCCCGTAACCGTGGCAACGAGGCGATGGTCAGTGTTACCAATACCTTACTACTACCCTCTGAAAGCCTTATGTTCCGTCTGATCCCCGTGGTGGCTACGGATGCCATGAGTGGCAATGGCAGTTGTAAGAGTATGGGAGTGGCGCTGATGGGCAGACTGCTCAAGAGCGACCCCAATAGATGGATGGAGAGCCTATCACAGCACGGGTAAGGAGGGTGGACACATGCATGTTCTGTAGGGTTGTGTGTGTGTGATATACAGGTATCTATTGATTATATATATATATATATATAAATATATATATGAAACCCTTATTATCTGATATAGGCATGGTCTGATGATTTCCCTTTCTACGTGTGTGTATATCTACCAATACGCAACTCTAGGCACTCATCCCGTGACTCCTTCGAACTCACCTCTTTTAGCGAGACCACCCATCTCTTCCCCATGCAGATGTACTATCCCAAACCCACTCACTCGCCTCTCTCACCGTCCACACCCCCTGCCGCCACTCACACTCACTCACACATACACATGCATGTGCACTCAATCACTCACATACACCCATGCATATACACTCACCAACTCTCACACACTCATGCATGTGCACCTTTCACTCACTCTCACACACATGCATATACACTCACGCACTCTCACTCACATGCATGTACACTCACTCACTCACACACACACATGCATGTGCACCCTTTCACTCACTCTCACACACATGCATATAAACTCACGCACTCTCACTCACATGCATGTACACTCACTCACAGACTCACACACATGCATGTGCACCCTTTCACTCACTCTCTCACACATGCATACTCACACACACACATGCATATACACCCTTTCACTCACTCTCACACACATGCATATACACTCACGCACTCTCACTCACATGCATGTACACTCACTCACTCACACACATACATGCATATACACTCACGCACTCTCACTCACATGCATGGGCATGTGCGCAGATTCCTGGATCACTTTGTGGGCATTCTCAAGCACGCCGACGTGGAGGTGTCGCGTGCACTACACACGCACTCGGGATCACTGCTGCCCATCTACAGCTACGAGGCTAAGATGTCCTTCCTTGTGCTTGTGGCGAGTGTCAAAGAGGGTGCGGCCGCCCTTGTGGCTAGTGGTATGTGAGTGTGTGTTATGTATGTGTTAGTGTGTGTTATGTGTGTGTGCGTGTGATTGAGTGTCTGTTATGTGTGTATGTGTGTGTGTGTAGTATGTATGTGTGAGAGAGTTTGGAAAATGATGATTGCGTTTCAACGTACTTTACACATCCATAACTACTCATGCTCTACAAATGATGATTGCGTTTCAACGTATTATATACATCCATAACTACTCATGCTCTACATATGAGGATTGCGTTTCAACGTATTATATACATCCATAACTACTCATGCTCTGCTTATGATGATTGCGTTTCAACGTATTATATACATTCATAACTACTCATGCTCTGCGTATGATGATTGCGTTCCAACGTACTTAAACATCCATAACTACTCTTGCCCTACATATGCTTTATACATCCATAACTACTCATGCTCTACGTATGATGATTGCGTTCCAACGTACTTTACACATCCATAACTACTTATGCTCTACATATGATGATTGCGTTTCAACTTATTATACACATCCATAACTACTCATGCTCTACGTATGATGATTGCGTTTCAACGTACTTACACATCCATAACTACTCTTGCCCTACATATGATGATTGCGTTTCAACGTATGGTGATTGCGTTTCAACGTATGGTGATTGCGTCTCAACGTACTTACACATCCTAACTACTCATGCTCTACATATGATGATTGCGTTTCAACCTTTTATATACATCCATATCTACTCCTTCTCTACATATGATGATTGCGTTTCAACGTATTTTATACATCCATAGCTACTCATACTCTATATGTGATGATTGCGTTTCAACGTACTTTATACAATCATAACTACTCATGCGCTGCGAAAGGGGCCGCTGCGCATGTATGTATACAGAACTAGAGCTACATCTTCCTTTTCCCATGCGTGCATAGACTATACGTGAGTGTATGTGTTTGTATAGGCATACTTATGGAGCCACGTGTTTCCAGTACTTCTTCTGTCCATACTTCCATTTATCCATACTTCTTTAGTCCATACTTCCATTTGTCCATACTTCTTTTGTCCGTACTTCTTTTGTCCATACTTCATTTGTCCATACTAACATTTGTCCAGGTATGTTACGTCGATTGTCCACTTTCACGTGTCTGCAAGAGTCGCCACTACACACAGACGAAACAGACCAGTCGTTTGGATCACGTGCCGATCGCGAGCGCCGCGTCGTTCTTTGGGCCTTACGTCTTATTGGAGGTATGATACGCACACTCACATATGCATATCCATATACATATACAGATACCTACATGTACCTGTACATGTACATATACATATGCATGTGCATGTGCGTATACATATACATCACATATACATGCATATATATATGTATATATGTGTGTGTGTGTGTGTGTGTGTGTATTTGTGTGTGTGACTCTTGCTGGTATCCTCTCGTACATAGGCTGACAGAATATATATATGAAGACACGGTATCAAGATCCGTGCCGTCGCCCCCTATGCTACACTCACCCATGCACGCGCACATACAAACAGACTGTGTATATTAAAACCCCCAAGGGGTTTTTAGTTACTACTAACTAAACCCTGAACCCTAAACCCTTTACTAATCCTGATAGTAAACAACACGGACTCTCGCGAGGGCGAGAGATTGCCTACACTCTACTCCTACGTGTGTATTTGTCAAGTATTTTCTTATTTATACACCCTTAACAACCATGTGCGTATACCCTTAGTTACTCACTTACCTAACTATACCATCTGTGGGTTCTCGCAGGTATCCTTACGTCGGTGGGTCGTGAGAATGTCTTTGCCGTGGCTGAGGCGTTGGACTGTGTAGCTGTGAAGAAGGAGTTGTTTCTGAGTGTGTTGAGGGGTGGCGCACACTCCTCGCCCACCGCCAGACTCACCCCACACGTGCTCGAGGAGATCAAGCTGACGGTATGCACATGCACATACATGTGTAAGTTCAAACGTGTGCCCTAAGAACCCTGTACCCTGACATCGGTAATTAAACGTGTGCTCTAAAAACCCTAAACCCCTATACCCTGTAACGGGTGGTTGCAGGTGTGTTAGTGATGTGGGGTGCTTATATGGTGGTGTGTTCACGTATACACATGTGATCTTGAACCTGAGAAGGGAGTTTCAGTCATGAATACGAGACAGATGTATATTCCAAAACATGTATAATAAACGCGATGCGCGTGCAAACGCGTACAGAAGTTCTAAAAATAGATTGTCAGGACGCTGTCTGTATCTATGAGCCCAAGAGAACTGTCTTACACGCTGTAGGGTGCTGTTGTGTGCTACGGTACACAGGGCATCGGGTATTTATAGTTCTCGATATGAATCTGTCCGTCTATCTGTAAACACACACATACACACACACACACACACACACACACACATACACACATACACATACATACATACATACAATACATACATACACATACACACACACACACACATTCATACACACACACACATAAATACACACACACATACACACATATATATATATATATATATACATATAAGTAGAGAAGCATGTATACTTCTCGATGTATATATATATATATAAATCTCTCTGTCTATCTGTGAGCACACACACACAAAGTTGAGAAGTATGTATACTTTTCGATGTACCTACATATATAAATCTGTCTGTCTATCTGTGAACACACGCACACACACATCCACATATAAGTAGAAAAGTATATATAGTTATCGATGTATATACATATATTTATCTGTCTGCCTATCTGTAAACACACACACATACACGCATACACATACACGTACATATACACAGCCTATACACTGAATCATTGACCCCTCCCTCTGCCTCACCTTCTCCTCCCCTCAGGTGGGCATCTTCTATCGCCTGTCTGCCGATGCGGCTGAGTTCACGCGTAGGTTAGGTGATAGTGCCTTGGTGTTTCATAAGCACTTGTTGGGTTGTCTGGTGCGGTTTGCCGTGCCCTCGAGGTGGAAGTCGCGTATGGCGTACCCTGTCACCAGTACAGTCGAGCCCAGGGAGACATCGAGGTAGGTATAGCTATAAGTGTGCGTTACGTATCCTTGTGTGTGTGTGTGTGTCACCAGTACAGTCGAGCCCAGGGAGGCATCGAGGTAGGTATACTTAGTGTGTGTACGTATCCTTGTGGGTGTAAGGGGGGGGGCATATGCGAATGTACGGGTATATGGACTGGTTTAGACATGTTTAGATGGATATGTACATATGGTTGTGCGTGGACGTACACGTGTGTGTTGTGTATCTGCGGTGGATGCCGCGTGTGGCTTACTCTACCGCCTGCACAGAAGAACTGGTGGTGACATTGCGGTGTTTATCAAGTGGTGTATGTGTGTGTGTGCAATTAGGTTTCTGACGGAACCGTGATTGGACCATATTTGCTCATATGTCTACAGGCAGTATATATATATATATATATATATATATAGTACTTTCTTTATATATATTTTCATGTATACATTTTTTACGTGTATGTATCGGTGTTGCATGCTCAACCGAGAAAACAGAGGTATGGAAATTGGGTATGTAGTTCTGCAGGTGTATATACGAAGAGTTGAATCGGACCATATGTTATAGATCGCTCAGATCAGAGTTTACTTGAGCTATGACTATGTACATACGAGTGTGTGTATGGATCCTGCTGTGTTTTTATCAACAGCTAATTGAGGTTTTAGGGCTTTATGAGTGTGTGTATTGATATTGGCGTGCTCTACGCATTGTATCCCTATTTTCAGCTCTGGCCAAATCGAATGTCCACTTACTTAGAGGTGTTATCTATGTATCTGTGTCACTCGGTTACAATTACCTGCGGGTTTACAAGTGTGTAAAGGCCTTCTCTGCAACAGACAGTCGACTATCGTACGCATCCCTGCATCACGTGTTAACGTACGGATGTGAATTAGTACTCTCCGAATTTCAATACCTACTCTCCGCTTTTACCTACCACACCACAGCCTTGACTACAGAATGCGGGATGTACAGTCGCCGCAAGTCGTCGACGCGGCTGTCATTGCGGCGGTGGAGTGTGATGTGCGTGACATCTGTCTGAGTCTGGTGTCGTATCTGCGCAGTGTTGTCAAGGTTGCGAAGCAGAGCCGCGATACTGCACAGATCATGCCGTTACTATCACCAAACCTTCAGGTATGTACGTAAATGAATACATGTATCTGTATATGTATGTGTATATCTGTATATATATATATGTGTGTGTGTGTGTGTGTGCGTGTGTGACTTGGGACTTGTGACTTGTGTGTCTTGTGTCTTGTGTCTTTTTATCAGTGGACCTCAATGCATTCTCTCACACGAGCTGAACTCTTATTCATGTGAAAAAAATGCAGATATCAATCACATACATATTTGTGCCAAATCTCAACGCATATCTTTGTCCACCCAATCCTATCGTCTGAATTTAACGTTTATTCTACGCGTTTGTCCACACCCGCTATATAGAATGCCATAGTATTGGCCAACAACGACTCCAGTGCTCCGTCACACATCAGTGATGAATTGGCGAACGAAGAGAATGCCAGCAGCAAACGGCCCCCGTCCCTCAGCGCACTTGTAATATACATCCGCACAGCTATACCTAGGTGGGTGGGTGGTTGGGTGTGTGTGTGTTGTATATGTCTACTGTGTGTGTGTGTAGGGGTGTGTGTGGGTATGGGTGTGTGTGTGTGTGTGTGTGTGCTGTGTGTTGTATGTCTACTGTGTGTGTGTGTTGTATATGTCTACTGTGTGTGGGGTGTGGGTGTGTGTGTGTGTGTTGTATGTCTACGCAGATAGATGTACGTAGTGTGTGAGGATGATGGTTTTTTGGAGCACACCCAGTTATTGAGCCTTTTGAGTTTGTACCTCCACACACCTGTCTCTAAGATAGATTATGAACTAGTTATTATTGTGCACTTGTTTAATCAGAGTTCGCATATAGTGTACCAGGTGTATATAGTTAGTCATCAGTATCTACACCTGGTGTGTTTCGGGTATATATAACTGCTCGAATACTCGTATACTATGTCGTAATTCAACACAGCTTGTTTAGCTATCGTGCGGTACATGAATTGTTTCAATTGGTGGATCACGTGTCGATGTCGCAAATCACATGTCGCAAATCACATGTCGACCGTATCTCATTATAGTCAATATCACATTCACTGCGTAGTCTGTTGAGCCGAGTGACAGCATCAGCAGCCAGGGGTCGAGGTCGCGGTTCGGGCGCTGAAAATGGTACTAACCTAAATATGGGCATGATTTTAGGCGGGAACGCGGTAGGTATAAATGTCGGAGCCACCCCAGATACCTACGGACATCCAGACGCAAACGCATATGGTTCTAATCAGGGATACACACGCGGTAACCATGGTAACCAGGGGTATGGTATGCCACATTCCATGCACAGTACACAAAGCTACGGCACAACTGGACACAACCCACAGATTAACCACGGTTACGGTTATGGGAGACCTCATGCGATCAACGGAACGTTCGGACCGATAACTGGGGACTTCAATGACTACAGGTATATATATATATGTGTGTGTGTGTGTGCGTGTGTGTGCGTGTGTGTGTGTGTGTGTGTGTGTGTTTACATATGTATATAAATATATGTGTGTTTGTGCGTGTGTGTGTGCGTA